TCAAATTTTTGCATTTTTATTTTAAAAGGGTTAATTTGTTCTAACTGTAAATGTCTAATTCTTCCACTTGTTGAAACTTTATATGTATTTTGGAAGCTTTAGTTCTCATTTAACTTGGAAATGGTTATTATGCAATTAGAATTTTTGCATTTTAGAAAGTATATCCGATAAAGTGAGGAGAATTATGCCTATAATTTTACATGTTTAATAAGATTTCTCCTCTTTACTTAATTTTGCAAGTAAGTGATTGATATAGTCAATAAAGGTTATACTCCTCCTTTGATTATTCTTATATATTTTCTAAGAGGGAATATCTATTTATTGTCCTTTATTTTTGAAAAAAAGAGAATAAGAGTTTTTCTTCTACTCCAATGATTCTTGTACTAAGTAATCGGGGGTTGACATCTACAAATGTCGACATTCGCGTAAAAAGGTACTTGAATTAAGAGTATGCATAGCAATTTAAATAAGTGAAATGTTGAGTAACCGGGGATCTTCGCCTAAAAGTATCGATTTTCACGTAAAAAGGCATTTTCACTATAAATGTGTTTATAAAATGTTGAAGTGCGTCCGATCCTTCCGGACGTCCGATGCTTCCTTATGAGCGTCCGACAGAGCTTCCTTCTTGATGTTCTTTCTCCTTTCGGACGTCCGACAGATTCCTTTCGGACGTCCGACATGAGTGTCCTGTTTTTGCTTCTTCTTTTGGTTGATTTGCATTTCATGACATATTCGTACCTGATTCTTTGATAGGCAAAAACACTTATATTTGAAGAAAGTTAGATAAACATTTCAAAGTACTTTGTGATCATCAAAACCAAGAATAACAGTACCCATTTTAGAAAATACTACTGTCCCTTGAATTGGCCCCCATACTTTTTGACAAACATCTTCCCTTATTTTGTCGCCTAAGCAACCAATTTCCTTTATATATCTTTCCTCTGCAGTAATTCTTCTAGAGCTATTTAAACACAAAATTGAATACTACTTGAACAAGAAATAATTTAAAAAGTTAGACCACTAACGAGCATGGGGCATGCATATAAAATTAAGCTCAATCCACTGTCAAGTTTTAATTTTATAATTTTCTAAACACCCCACATACGATTTCTGTAAGTGTATTGGTCAAGAACTAGTATAGGGCATTAAGGGTCAAACCCACAAGAAACACAGTCAACTATCGATAATATTAAAACTTCTCTATCATTTAGACTATCAACAAATGAGCAAAATAAAATTATACTAGAAATGGACAAGAAAATCACACTAAAAAGCTCTTGGGGAAATGGAATCCCTAACTACTTTTGCTTGTGAATCTCTTTGATTAATTGATTGTTACTACCTTGGCTCATTATGGCATAATTTCTTCAAGCATGTGATACCTACTTTCACTAGTTAATTACTTATACCTACAGCTAATCTATACCTACTTTCATGGTTATGAAATCAATTACAAACTCATAAAATTCTATGAAATTACTCATAAACAAGCCACAAAGGTGCACCTGGACTTTAATGAGTGTACTTCCTAGGTTTAGTACTTTTTTGAACTAGTGTTAAATCCTAATTCTCACTGCAAACTTAACACCTTGAAATTATCACAATTAATAGCTAGTTAATCATGATTATAAAAGCAAAAGTCCCAAATAGCTTGCTCAAGATAATAGTATCAAATAACCCAAGAAATATCACAAACAATCCACATGTAGTTCAACCAAAATTCAAGGCATGAAACTTTAGCTAAACATACAACAAATGAAAATACAATCCAATCTTGTATTATAACTAACAAAGGAATCAAATAAAAGAATTAAAGGGTTAGGAGAGATCAAACCCTTGTTACTAGAGCTGAACTTCTTCATCTTTAACCTCAATCCTCATCCAAGCTAGCTAAATACAAAGATGGGATGACTAATCTACTCCCACACTAATCTAATCTAACCTAAGAACTAAGACCTAGCAGTTTTTGGCTTTAGATCCACATTTTTTTGGTATATTTCCCTCATTCTCCAGCTACAATTTTCGTTCATGGAGGTTCCTTTTATAAGGAAGAAGAAAGAAAGGAAATAATTGAGCAAGTTGCAGAAGTTGTGCAAGTGGGTTAGATAGTGTGAGAACTGGACTTTGATGACATGATAAGAATTTTATAGCATTGTTTTAGCTTTAAAATGAATTAAGAATCGTCTAAATCCAATGCTTGTAATTTGAGTTGTAGCCAAAATACTAGTAATATGTGTCATGTCCTTGTAACTTGAGTTATAGCCAAAATACTAGTAATATGTGTCATGTCCTCCAATCCGTTTCGTCCTTGTTCCTTCATTGTATCATCATTTCCACTTCATGTCAACTTCAAATACACTTCAAATCATCAATAATTATTGAAATGACTTGGTGCTTAACTCTATTTGATGATTGAAATGTTAAAGCCTACAAAAACATGAAGTTTTCACCACTTAGCACCATCAATATGCAACTTTCTCATTTTAACCACCAAATGCAAGAGTCAACTAAAAACCTAGTTATTCAATCCATAAAACAACTAAAACACACCAAAACTAGCTTAAACAACTACACAAAAACATGGAAAATAGGACTTATCACACCCCCCTCACTCGAATCATTGCTTGTTCTCAAGCAATGGTAAATAAACCAAAGATAATGATTCAAAATAGTGAAGTGGCATGCAATAAAGATTCATGTGTAGTAGCACAAAAGAGATGATCACTATATAAGCCTTGCACTTTAATTCTAGTGCTCCATAATATCAAACAAAGGAAAACTCATCATACCATCATTTACTCAAGTCCAATACCATGTATTATCCATAATCTAATCATGCTTGCCATGAAACTAGCATAATCAAAAAATGTAAAAACTTAACTTGTAACCACCCCTTAGAACTAAAGTGAACAAGGACAAGAACTAAGAAAACTTTCATATTTTTATCACATAAACTTTTATTCATTCTTTTCTTTCTTTTACTCTTTCGCATAAAGTTTTACTTGAGTAGTGAACTTGTCTTTTGATGCGAAAGCAAACATTGGTAGATGAATGCTCCAGGCTATTCGATCAGGTCGCAAACTCTCATTGCTTTGTATACTCTTAATTCTAGTACCATTTTATGTGAAAGTCAATATTTTTAGATAAAACTCCCCGATCACTAAGCATTTTGAATCATTGGAGCAGATGCTTGTGTGATCCATAATCACACAATCTTTTTTTTCTTCTTTTGTGAAAGACAAAAACTACATTACTTGATCCTTGCAAAAACTAGAACTAAAGGAAAAATCACAGGAAAAGGTTTACATTAATCAATCACACCAATCACACAACTTACACAAATAAACTAAGAGAAATACACTTCATGAACTTAAAGAGATCTTGGCATGATAAACTCCATTCTATAAGATATTACTTTTCCTAAAATCAAAACTCTAGACTCACACAATAACAACATCAAAGCCCTTTTCATACAAGCTCATCTCAACAAGCATGAAAACATCAATTCAAATTTAAAACTCCTTTCTCCACACTTAAATTTTTTAATATACCCAATAAGAAAGGAGATAAAAAAGAATTAGAAATGATATTCCTCATGTGCTTTTAACATGATTTGACCAAGACACAACCATAAAACATTATTGGCAACAAATTTTTGAAAATATTTCGGTAGAGTTTACCCTTATAATTGGATGAAACTCCTTACCAACAATTCCAAATTTCAACAATTTACATATACCAACATCACCATCTATCCAAATTTCAAGAAATACATCAATTTCTACATGAATACTTAGGGATGCATTCAATTCCAACCAATCTCACTCCCACACTTAAATTATACAGTATCCTTATTGTGAAAAGTAAAGGGAATGAACAAGAATATGCCCCTAGTGTAATAGGTGATTTGTTGTAATTGAGCAACATTACTTCTTTTCCAAGTCTCCATTAATAGTGCTCCTTTTGCCTTTATTCTTCAAACCTACAAAATAGAGACAAACATACTAAAAAGACATAAAATTAAACAAATAGTTGGGTTGCCTCCCAACAAGTGCTTGTTTATAGTCATTAACTTGACTAGATCGCCTCATTCTCAAGGAGGTTTTATTAATGAATGATATACCAACTTAGGTCGTGGTGGATCAACAAATGATAGTTTGGTTGCATGAGCCATGTATCCAAATGATAAGAGCGATAAAAGGAGTTTACTGGTTCCAAGTGTTTGGTAGGTATTACATTGTTCATACATCACTTAAGAACTTACCAAAGGAGATGCTGTATAAATTGCTTGGGCAATTTTATCTTTAAAACCTCCACTTTTGAAACACTTCTCAATAGGGGTTAAAAATAAACCACTAAAGCTTGTCGCTTGAGATTCAAGATTTTTTTTTTTTTTTTTTATTGAGAGGAAAATGGATAGCACAAACATACAAATGCTGCATGGAAGCAGCTATTTAACCTGATATCTACGGAAATTTGGAAGACCCAACCTATCAAGAGTGATATCACCTTTTACTAGACGAGGTAATTCATTAAAAGACGTATACGTTATAGATACCCTCGATTCCACCCCAACATTAGCTTGAGATTCAAGATTAGTTCCAAAGAAGTCATCATGCAAAGTGGGCATTTCATCATCAACACTAAAATTAGATTCATCATGATCATCAAAATGTAGTCCATCTTCATATTTGACATATCTACCATTCATGCTAGTATTCCATTCATTTGAAGAAACAACTTCGTACAAAACATGTAATTTATTTTGTAAGCTACCAAAGTGCAAAGTCAATTTATCTAATGTAGCTTCAATACTAACAAAAAATGTAGTGCACTGGTTCTCAATTGCTGAATAGGTCCTCTTGGAATGATCCCCGACTTGTCTGTGGGCTTTGCCTAGGGTTTTTTCGAGCTTCAGCGGTGCCAATGGCTGCCCTTCAGTCGTCGACTGAAGGGATCCCCCTCCACCTAAGGAACAGCGATCCTTTGCTCAGCTGTTCATGTCGGCTCAGCCATCTCCCATCCCTACCAAGCTGCTGTCATCTCACAAAGGGGAAGTTGCTGTCTTTTTTTCGGTGGAGGATATCTCCAAGCTTGCGTCGCCATTTCGGCTTTCTCTGGTTGGCAAATTTTCTCGGGGTCGCCCCAAACTGGAGGACATCAAGAAATTTGTTCGCTCCCTGGACTTGAAGGATTCATACATGGTAGGCCATATGGATGCACGTCATGTTCTCATCCACTGCTCATCTGAGTCGGACTTCCATCGCCTCTGGTTGAGAGGTATTTGGTACGTGGGTAAATTTCCCATGAGGGTCTTCAAGTGGTCCTCTTCCTTCCACGTGAACAGAGAGTCGTCGTTGGCTCCAATTTGGTTTTCCCTCCCAGGCCTGCCGGTCCATTTCTTCAACAAACACTCTCTCTTTTCTGTCGTTCAGGCCGTGGGGGAGCCTTTATTTCTTGGCGCTGCAACTGTGAATCTAACCCGACCGAGCATTGCTCGCATTTGCGTCGAAGTCGATCTTCTCCACCTCGTCCCATCTTGGGTGTGGATTGGAGTGGAGAACTCCAGTGAGGGCTTTTGGCAGTCACTGGAGGCAGAATATGTTCCTCAATATTGTACCAACTGCTGGCACTTGGGCCACGCCAATAGTCAATGCCAAAAGGCTGATCTGGGTGGTCCTATGGCTCGCGTGAAGGACACCAGGAGTGCTGCGGAGGTGCAGGTAGGAGTTGTGGGTATGGCTACACTGACGCAACACCTGGGAGACCCAATTCCCGCTGCTACCCATGGACAGGTTGATGGTCCTGTGGCTCACGTGAAGGACACCAGAGAGGGTGCGGAGGTGCAGGTAGGGGGTGTGGGTGCGGCGCCGTTGCGTGGCCCAATTGCCGTTGCTACCCATGGATAGGTTGATGGCCCTATGGCTCGCGTGAAGGACACCAGGAGCGCTGCAGAGGTGCAGGCAGGAGGTGTGGGTGCGGCTACGTTGAACCAATAACTTGGAGACCCAAGTGCCGCTACTATCCATGATGGCCCAGATGGCGTTCCAGCTGCGGAGAGTGGGCGAGACAGTCCTACAACTGCTGTGGCGGTGACCCCTACTACTGCAGAGGTGGGTTCAGCGGAGGAGGGGTAGCTTCCTCTTCCCACTTCGGCTGGGATGGGCAGGCCGCCTTCGCCATCGCTTGATGTAGAACGACTGCTCGTACCTGATTTGGAGGCTATCGAGGGTAGTGATGAAGCGATGATTGAGGAGGAGGTTCAGCTGCAGATGGTTGGGGAAGGGGTTGTCATGCCTTGTGAGGTGGCTGTGGAAGAGGAGGAGGGCAGTGTGGTGCGGCTGCCCATCACGACCGGCAATCTTTCTCCTAGGGGCCAACCCTTTATGGAGGTAGTGCTACCATGCATTTCAAATAAGGTCCAGTCTGCGCGAGATGACTCACTCCAGATGGTTAGAAAGCACAAGGGGTATCGCTCTATCGCCCCGTCAAATAGAACATTCCGGTCTACCACGACTAGGTCACAGAATTCTTTCCAGGCATTGTCTCATGATTAACGCTCTCTTCTGGAATATAAGAGGTTTGTCTAAACCCTCTCACTTTAGGCGTCTCAGGACACTTGTAAGGCAATATCATATTCAGTTTCTTGTGCTTTGTGAAACTCGTGCTAACTACACACTTGCTGAAGAGTTTTGGCAAAAGCTCCATTTTGATCATGTAGTTTATAATTATTCTAGTTCTCTTTGGTTATTTTATAACGATCCTTTCAACGTAGTATTGGTGGGGGAGAGGGAGCAACATTTCTCCTTCCTTGCCCTCCATAGTTCTTTCCCTACCCCTGTGACTGTCTCCTTTGCCCATGCATTGTGCACGGGGGAGGAGAGACGGGAATTGTGGGGCAATTTGTTGCGAGACAAGCCTTCTCAGGGGCAATGGTGGGTGGGAAGGGATTTTAATGTGGTGGTGGTGGAGGTGGGGGAGAAAAAGGGCGGAAGGGCTTTCCGCTTGTCTGAGGCTGTCGATTTCTTGGAGTTCATGTCTTCTGCAGAACTCTTTGATGCTGGTTTTTCTGGTTCTTCCTACACGTGGTGTAATAATCGTTTAGACCGTGCGCGAATTTGGAAGCGGCTGGACCGACTCTTAATCAATAACCCATGCTTTGTCGCCGGGTTGATGATCTCGATTTCTCTTCTAGCTAGGGATCCGTCCGATCACTCTCCCCTCTTGCTCTCTGTTGCTACACGGGTTGATGGGAAACCACGGTCGTTCCGGTTTATAAATGCGTAGACCTCTCACGCTGGTTTTAGAGATGTCGTGACGGCCTCCTGGCAACAAGGGTGTGTCGGTTCTCCTCCTATTCACATAGTCTGCACTAAATTGGCCCGCTTGAAGGCGGATATTAAGGTGTGGAACAAGCAATGTTTCGGAGATATTTTCCAAACACGCGGAAGGCTGAGGAGGCCATCCTTGCTGCGGAAGGGCAAGTGGAGGAGGATGCTTCAGGTGAAGCGCAGGGGGCATTGGAGCGGGCCACTGCAGAGTGGCGGCGGTGTCTATTGGTGGAGAAGCGTTACTGGAAGCAGAAAGCGAAAGTTCATTGGCTTGAATTGGGCAATAAAAATACAAAGTTTTTCCATGCAGTCGTCAAGCAGAGGCGGTTACAATCAGTAATTCATCGAATTCAAGATGGGCAGGGTAATTGGTTAACAGCGGAGGATGACATCGGTGCCGAGTCGGTTCGGTATTTCTCTACGCTCTTTTCGGCTGAGCCCATCTCGTCCTGGGATTTGTCATCCGTTATCCCCATCGGTGCTGAGCCCATCCGACCATGATATGTTAGAGGAGGTCCCAACAATGGAAGAGGTATGGCTTGTGATTTTTAGTATGGATGGGGATAGTGCTGCTGGTCCTGATGGATTTTTTGGAAAATTTTTCACCTTTGCTTGGGAGATAATTACCCAAGACATATATAGTGCGGTGGTCAGTTTCTTCTGTGGAGCAGAGCTGCCGCGGAGGGTCACTGCTACGTTACTTGTACTCATTCCCAAGGTGCAGAACCCAAGTTCCTTCGCTCAGTTTCCGCCCATAAGCCTGTGTAACTTCTTGAATAAGGTCTTGTCTGTGACGACCCCACTTCTCCCAAGGGCGAACCCAAGGGTATCGGCGGGCCGCCTGCCTAGCTCGCGCCAGGACTCAAACCTTAAAGCGATAAAAACCAGAAAATCCAAAAGAGTACCTTACATACTATATACAAATCCCAAAAAGGTTATAATTACATTCTCCAAAAGTACCTGCTCAAACTATTACACCCTTATAATTACAACCAAAACTAAAAGGTAGACCCTAAGGAGGGTCCTTATACAAACCACCACAAAAAAACAAACATCCTAATTGTCCAACTATGACAAACCAATACTAGTGTAAGTGCCCATAAGTCCCCGCGTCGGTCCCTGCTAAGGAAAACAAAAGGAACGGGGTAAGTTATATGCTAAGTAAGTAAACAGGGGCAAAAGCGTAAATTCACGTAACCACAGTTACTCAATAAGAGTAAAGCAAAAAGCAGAAAAGTAACATCACATAATAAGGATACAGGTGGCTCCAAAGCCAAGTCGTTGCCATGCGTGACCTCCTGTCGACACTCCGTCGACCATACATAAGGTCCGTAGAAACTCCACTTGTACACCCACCGAACACCTTATCACCCTCACTGGCCAGTCACCTCACAAACTTGCCCAGGCGAACGAAATCACAAACTTGAGCTTGAGTCACAAGCTCGGGTCACAAAATTGGTTCACATACTCAGCGAACCGGGTTCACAAACTTGGTGACCTCAAACCAAGTTGGACTGACTTCGACCAAGCCCTAACCGGCTCGAATAAGTCCATCTAGCGTATTGAGTTCAACCTCAAACTCACAAAATTCACAAAATTTATTCAAAAGTCACCCTGAGCCACCAGCTCAAGGGTTTTAGTTCCAAAAATTGCTCATATACATAAGCCATGTACAAATATGTGTGCAAATTAGGGTTTAGAGCGAGTGCGATAAAGTACACCCTCGTCTAAGTACCCTCTTCATACATATCGAAACAATAAGCAACTAACATACAAAAGCGGCCTGAATACTTACTCCAAATACAAAAGTAGTACAAAAGCGGAAATCACTTCGTTGGTTGGCTAGTAGTGGGCCCCACCGGCTCCGCCTAGTTCACCACCGTCTGAAATCGAAGATTGTATCACAATATATCACAAACAGCTACTCACACACGTAAAACAAGCAAAACGGCAAAATTGGCACGCGCAAGTGCGAAAACGGCAAAAAGGGGCACACGCGCGCGCGCGGAACGGCAAACGGGACGGCCAAATCGGCCATCTTAAACCGTTTCGGTCGAAAGTTAGGCTAGGAGTGTCGGATCAAGGTGAGCGAGATACCGTTTCGAAGCTAAGAGGAAGGGCTACAATTCTCATGAAGACATCTCAACCCAGATCTCAATAGGTGTAGGTCAAAAAGGCACTAAATAGTGCCAGCTGTTTCATGGCAAGTTACCAAACATGCCCTGTTTGCAAGGCCGTAACTCACGGCTCAGAAATCGAAATCAAGAAATTCCAAAGGCGTTAGAAAGCTGAGACATAAGGCTAAAACTTTGATGTTTTGGCCAAGACCTGAATCCACTCAGAACAGAACTAAAATCGAGTGTCAACGTACCCGTCAGAACTGTCCAAATACAAGGCAGTTCTGACGAGCGTTATTGTTTTGATCATAACAGGAGCTACGGAACTTGGTTTTCAACGTACTTTATACCGTTTCGAAGCTGAGACCAAGATATAAATTTCTTATGAAGGAGTTGACACCCAGATCGTATGGAATCAGAACGGAAAAATGCACGGCAGAAACTGAAATGCAAAACGTACACAAACGGACGTCTAAAACAGGTCTGAGGGTTTTGTCTATAACTCGGAATACATTAATCCGTTTGACCTACAATTTTACAGGTAGATTCAGCACTTAAAAGGTTACAACGTTGAAGAAGGCCACTTAACCCAGTTTCGAGGGTAACTAGGTCAAAACTGTAAGATACTAAACCAGAATCGTAAAACAGGTGAACAAACCGCAACCTGGGGCAAACAGCATAACTCAGCCTACTTAAGTCCAAATTCAGAAATTTCAAAGGCATACGAAAGCTTAGAAACAGGGCTACATTTCATCAGAAGACTAGAACAACCAATTCTGAAGTAATCCTATCCAAAATCACCAATTACAAGTGCAGTTCTTACATTCGGACAAAACCAGAATAGCAAGGGTATTTTCGACTTTTCTCACTCTACGCTACTCCGATTGACCTGAAATTTTACAGACACCTATAAAATGTCATTTCCTACAACTTTCATGTTTTAAGACAAGGCCAATTCGGCCTCTATCTAGGACCAAAATATTCGGACAGAATGAAGAACCAAGAAACCCCAATTTTCCAGATTTCATTCAAAACAGAAATCACTTGCAATCTTCCACTTTTTCCACCATCTAGCATCATTACATACCATTTCCAACCATCATATATAGCCACACAATCATGCTTATATTAAAACAGGAAAAATCCCAATAAATATAAAACTTCACTAAATCATCCACAAATCAAGATATAAACCATAATTTTTCATCTCTTAACACCACTAAGCATGAATTAAGCTTCATTAGGTGAAGGAGAGAGTTCATTCATTACTCACCTAGTAAAACAAGAGAGAGGGAGTTGCTTGTCACCTTAGCTTCCACAAACACTTCACCAATCAACTTACTAATACCAAATGAAGAGGTTTTATGGAAGGAATTCAAGATTAACCGGTTAGTTTATGAGATTGAGCAAGATTAGGACAAGGAATTGAGAGAGATTTTTCTTTCTTCCTTTGGAGAGAAT